GAAGTCCTATGCGAAGTCCTAAGCCGGCCAGCCCCGAAACTAAAGCCGCCCTCAAGGCCCCAAAACCGTCCCATGTGAAGTTCCCTGGTTACTCCCTTAAAACGGGATCTCACAAGGCTCAAGCCGTGAGGTCTGCACGGTCTCTGGGTTTCCAGAAGTGATGGGGTTTCGGCGTTCACGGTGCAGGGTCTATGCATGAGCTTAAAAGGCTATGACAACGGATGTGGCCTATGGCCGCCCTCGGGCACCCGTACCCCAAACCCGAGGCCAAAAACCTCAAACCCTAGAGCCTAACAAAGACTCAGTGTAAACCCTTACAGGAACCCCCTCATGAACCCCATAGGAACCCCGAAAGCAACCGTAAAGCGGCCCCGAAAGGAAGCCATAATCATCAGAGACAAGTCTAGCGTCTCCTGTGGGGTCTCATGCTTCAGACCTCGGCCCCTACCTATAGTGTCCATTGTAGTTCCCTTTTTTTGGTTTAACCAATTCTTTTGTTGAGGATCCTAAAAGGTAACCCCAAAAAGGAACTACAATGGAGACTATAGGTAGGGTAGCTTTCGGGACAAGTTTAAGCATTTACAGCCAGGGTCGGGGGACCAAGTTTCGACACTCATTCTCGCAGACTGGGTTTACGGAATGGCCGTTTTTGTGTAGGGGAATCGGTGTAGGGCTTAGATACCTTAGCCCAAATACCTTAGAAGCCTAAACCCTGCAGCCTGAATGAAGTATGGGCGACGTGTTCTTACGTAACCGCGCAAACAAGCCCCAAACAGCCTCGCGCATCTTCTGCCCCGCTGTCTGAGATGCAGCGCCCTGGTCCTGAGGAGACTCGGCTCGTCTCACCCTACCTTGACCCTAGAAGACCTTTAGGCCCTCAGACCATAAACCAAAAAGGATGGTCGTTAATAACCTTGTGGGTTTACAAGTTCATATTCTACTAACGGAGATCGTAGTGATTGCAGTGCAGGGAGTAGAGTAGGGCTTGACGGGATTTCGGATAGGAGTGTGAGAAAGTGAGGGATCCTAATATGGACCGCCAATTGCTAAATCCGTACTGTTGGGTCGCGCAAAAGGCTTCTTGTAACTCGATGAAAAGGAAAATGCCGAATCCCTGTGTACTTCCTACCGAGATTTCCAATCTCGCGGCTCCACTGCCGGACAACAGAACAGTTGGGGAGAGTGAGGACCTAGGATTTGATGTTTACATAACCCAAACAACAAGGTTAAAGAGAACCTGTAGGCTGCTTGGCTAGAAGTAGAGGTCTGCGACGGTTTAAGGATTTAGGAACTTATGGCTAACGTGGTTTACTGCCTGAAAGGTTTCCCGTTTCAGTAGGCAAAAGCCGTTGGCCAAGAAAGCCTGAGCATGTTCTGGCTGTCATTAGGCCACCAGCCGGGAAACGGCTCACCTTTTCGTGGTGGTAAAACTCGTAGGAGAAATACAACATGAATAAAAATATCTAAAGACATTGAATACATGAATAAATAACCAAATATGTGTATGTATATATTTTCTTGATGATTTATCCCCCGAAAATGGGAAATTACGTCATGTACTCAGCTAAATCAAGCAGCTATGGCCTTCCGCCCCAGCTTCCACTTCCGAAGCCCGAGAAGTGAACTCTTTTTTTCGCTTTGGCATCAGGGGAACTCGCTCCTGTCCTGCTAAGCTGCAAGGCCAGGGACTGCAGCAAAGCTGTCGAAAAAGGAAGCTTCTCACTTCTCATGGTCAGAACAAAGCTTATTGATCGCATGCAGAAATCTCATCAAGGACTGTGTCAGTCGCTGGTCTCGCACCCGAAGGCACCCAAAAACGCAGAAGCCCCTCAACCTCGAGTGCTACAGGGGCTGTCCTCCAGGAAGGCATCGCAACCACAAACGTCCCCCTACTCGTTTTCGACAACCTTTGCAAGCAGTCGTCCGACTGAGTCGACTTAGTGTATAAAAATCTTTCTACGGAAGCCCAGGTCAAAAGCATTTATCATTGACAGGACTTGATATGTTTTGGAAAGTCTGTAAGGTTTCATGCAGGTTGCATAGGGTGATATGAGGGTCATTCTATGGGCTCAGGGTTGGTGGTTTTGGGCACTCAGATGCCCCCACTGTGTGGTGTGGTTCGGGGTTGGGGTCTGCTCTCAGTCCCTCCGCTCCCCTGTGGTGTGTGGTGTGGTTCGGGGTTGGGGTCTGCTGTCAGTCCCTCCGCTCCCCTGTGGTGTGTGGTGTGGTTCGCGGTTTGGCGCCCTGGGTGTTTCGAAATCGTCATCATCATCATCATCATGCTCCTTTCTTGGGTCAACGGCCACAGGACGCGGGCCTGACAGGAACGCGATCCTGGTGACAGCTGCATGTTCAATAGCGTCATGCAGGACGCGGGCCTGACAGGAACGCGATCCTGGTGACAGTTGACAGTTGCATGTTCAATACCCTCATGGCAGAATCCTCGGTGGAAAGCGTCCACTGTCACAAGGATCGGGTGTGTTGGGGACGAGCTCCTCGTGACAGTTGATGGTTTTGGAGCCGCCATGTGCGAGAAGTGCGCACAGTCACAGGGATTCGGCATAATTGGACCTGGGCGTGCCGGGTGGGGATACCATGGGGGGGGGCTCGGCGAACCGAGAACCGGGATCATGCATGTATGTACAGATTTTTTCGTTTGTGTGTGTGTGTGTTGTGTGTGTGTTGCTCGATCAGAAACTAACCTGGGCCTCCATCACCAAGCCGGGTCCAAATGAGACGCCTGGGGCTTCGCCCAGACAGCCGGACAGCTTCCGAACAGTGGAAAGAGACGAATCAGGGTTTAGTGTTTAGACGGGTCGTCAATGGTGTCCGATTCATGGTTTCATGATTTCAGACGAATTGTAGGATCTTAGGGTCTGGGGTTTGAGGGTTTAAGGCATTTCGAGCTCACTTAGGCTTTCAGGGTGGGGTGGTGGGAATCAGCCTTTAGGCCGTGAGAGCTTTAGGGCCTCAGGGCTTGTAGGTACAAGCGAGATAGCGCTGGAACTTTCAAGGCCAATACGGGTGATGCCAAACACGATTGCCTGGAAACTGGAGCGGCGCACTCACGTCTAACTGTGCCTATTATAAGCTCGACTATCCCTGTCCACGTCTGTTCCACGAATTGGGGAAAAAGCCTTGTGTCTCGTCGCACAAGCCACCATCGAACAATGCTGGGCTGCCGCTGAACTCATTCCGGTCTCAAACTCTCACTCACCCTACACCTAAGCTGCCATCCCTAAACCCTAAACCCTAAACCCCTGCTCTAAGTAGGATTTCGGCACGGAGCCAACACCTAGAGATGCCTAGAGGGTCAGGTCGTCAGGGAGCTCCAGTGCAATCTGCAAACATCCCAGAACTGTACTGCAACCCGACATTCCCTAAGCCTTAAACCGTACCCCTCAGTCTTATGCCCTGAACCCAACACCCCCCTCTTCAACACATATATATATATATATAGATACATATATATATATGTGTGTGTATATCATTGTATATCTTTATGTGTTTGGTAACCCCATTGATCTATGCTGAAACACGGATGATGAGCCCCCAAACCCTTAACCGTAGCCCTGAAGGTCCAATTACCTAAGAGTCATGTTCAGCCCCCACCCCAAACAAAAAAAAAAAAATATATATATATATAATAAAACGACAAACCTGCACCACTATCTTCCTAAGCGCCCGAACCTAATTAGTGGTCAGACCTTTACGGAAATGATTCCTAAGGCACACCAAGAGCCTAACCCCTAAACCCGGAGCTTCGGAGGACTTCGGGTTCGTACTGTCAAGGACCCGGGGCGGACGATCAAGTTCATGATGTCAAAACACCAGAAACGACCTTTAGGGCTTAGGGTTGAGGGGTTTACGGTTTACCCTTGTAGGACTTCTGCGATGTAGGGTCGCGGGTGTCGATTTTCTCCAAGGTGCGGAGCCCTGGATTAGGGTTTGGGGCTGCCGCGGGTCCCTGAGGTGTTTTGCTTCAAAGGAGTCCTTCCTGCTTGGTGCCTATTAGATTTACTACTGTTTATGCAGGTTCAGTGGTAGGGTTGGTGTCGACGTCTCGAAACCAATATGTTGACTTGTCTGAGCTCGAAACCGCGCAGACAGTCGCGAACACCTCTTCCTCGACCCTATATAGTATGCAACCATGGCAAAAATCTACCCTTACACCCCCCACAACGAAAAAAAAAATACCAAGAACTAAACAACAAAGGCTGAGAGCCGCAGGGGCCCCTTCTGTGCAGCGGCCCAGACTAAGAGCCTGCAACGGCTCCAAGCTGCGTCCAGGATCCGAGGACACCGGAGAACTTCTCCGGGGCGAGAGGGTTTAGGGTTTAAGGGTTTAGGGGTTAGGGTTTAGGGTCTAGGGGTTTAGGGTTTAGGGTAGCGATGTGGGATGTTTCTTAAGGACGCCCAGTGTAGTTGTGAGTAGCACCTCTGGAAATCCGCAGTATAATCGGTAATGGAAACGGACAAGTGTCCGAAATGTCACCTCGCAGTGGCAAACTCGTTACCATGACCACCACCATCATCTTTGTGCCTTCATCTTCGCATAGGTCATGCTCACCACCATTATAAACAAACAATCACCAACATCAACACCATCATCATCATCATCATCATTGCCCCGACACCCCTCATCATCAAGAGCGAGATCACCTCATCAGCAGCATGGTGATGACGAGATTCTGCCTGTTGACCTTGTCTAAATCCCCATGATCATCAGGCCCAGCTAGGCGGCCGCAAGCATATGCCCGAAGAACTACAGCTTCGCCCCTCTGCCCAGACTCCTGTGAGCCTCCAGCCCCTCGAATCCAACAAGCTCGTCGAAAGGCAGAGCTGCACCCCGGGAGGATCAAAGTTTAAGCAACAGAAGACAGCTTGAACTAGCCCCATGAGGTGTTCCGGTCATACGTTAGAACGGTGTCTTTGGTGATCTGATGCACGGAACGAGGTCACAGCTCTGCACAGAGCAGAAGCACTCTGCTCCGCCCTGCTCACTGGAGCACCAGCAGTCCCACCACAGCCGAGGCACCGGACACGGCGAAGCGGACACTGCCACCAGCATCTGTGGAGGTGCCCCCTGTGCATGTCACATCACTGCCGATGCTCATGTCCTGAAGGCAGGAGTCACCGAAGCCACATGGGCCCCACCAGTCAGGGTCCTGGGCGGGCTGGGTGGCTGCCTCGTTTGTGGAGGGACAAGAGACGGTGGCCACTGAGGCGGTGCCCCCATTCTTGCAAGTGACGCTTGCCGTGGCACCAGCAGCGATGTTGGCCATGCCGCCGAAGTCCCATGTGCTGGGTGCCGCTGATGCACACTTGGGTGGGCTGGTCATCCAGGCCCACTTGGCGGAAACGCTGCTCATGCCGGCCTGGAAGAAGAGGAAGGGCAGCAAGTTCGCCGCAGCTGCGCCCAAAAGGGTAGCCGTGATGTTGCGGATGACGGCCATGACGAAGCACCTGGATACCTACGCTGGAGCTTGAGGAGCGGCTTGTTGCAAGGCTGCGGACGCAAGTCGTGAAGCAGCGCGACTTGCCACAAGCGATCTTCCTGAAATGCAAAACCCTAAACCCTATAAACCCCAACACAAAGAGAAACCCTAAACCCAATATTCTGCCAGCTGAGCTGAGCTTCTCAAAAGATATGAATGGCTAGAATTTGACTGAGGCCGTCCCCATTACAACTTGACTTGAGTCATTCGTTGAGGTTAGTTTTATGAAGAGGGCTCGACTTTCGGGCACACTCCGATTTTAGGCGTGGGAGTGCGTTTGAGGCTAATACTATCCTCTTGTAGCCGGGTATAGCAGAACAGAATTATGTACCACCCGTCCCTCCACACTGCTTCGGCATCGGATTGGCGGTCATCGACAGTTCTCCTTGAGTCTTCAACTTGCCCAGAAGTGTAAAGTACTGTTGACTTTGGCTATCTAAAGCCCTCACCCCCCAAAAAACACCTTTAAACACGCTAAACATCCTAAGCCCTAAACGCCCTCAACCCCCCCAAAAAACTCCTAAACAACAGTAACAAAGCCCCTAGAAAGACCCTCCTAAAAACCTGTAACAACCTACCACCGCGATGGCCCTGTGCGGGCCTCTCGGATCTCCTCACGAGCCTGCTGAGCTGCGCTGCCCTCTTCCTGGAGCATCGGCTTTATTGTGGGAGTTAGGATTAGGGGGACCCTTGGGGATATAGACCCCCTCAATAAGGTCCCTTTTAAGAGAGCCAGAAGTAGGGTTAAGAAGGGTCCCCTTTAAGGGGTCTCCCTAATTCTACCTAGGATACTTTGGTTTTAGGGTTTAGGGATTAAAGGGAACCCAGAAAGTTGGAACGTGGGTTTAGGAGGATTTGTGCTAGGATCACTTACACTTTACCTTAAGGGCATGGCGATAAGCGTGCTCCAACTTTCTGGCTTCTACTGTGGAGGGGTTTCGGTGCTCACTCTCGGACAATAGGGTTATGGATTTAGTTTATCTGGAAGGGCTTGTGGGCTTGAAATGGTTTTTTGGGGGCTTTCAGGAGTTTCAGGATTTAGCTACTACTACTACTACTACTACTACTACCACTAACTACTACCACTAACTACTACCTACTACCTACTACCTACTACCTACTACCTACTACCTACTACCTACTACCTACTACCTACTACTACTACTACTACTACTACTACTACCAGTACCAGTACGCTTAACGGGGAAATCGGAATCGGGCTTCTTTCAGCACCGCAGCATCCTGAGCCAGAAGATGCCGCGTGTGCAAGTCTTCAGAAGTTCCTTTGGACCGTTAGGGGTACCTTATTTTGGGGTTCTTCTAATAAGGATCCTACTATTTAGGGTACTATATTCGGGTCCCCTATTTATGATTCCTTCGCATGGATATGGAGTTGTTGACTATTCTGTTGCTACGGCTACGGATGTAAACATTCGATATATGTCAAAGAGCTTCGCACTTCTCTTTGCGCAGATTTGACGGGAAACGGACCTGCAACGTCGTCACTAGATTCCATTTTTTTACAAGTTTTCTACAAAATCATGCGAGTAGCAGTGGCAAGTCCCCCATCAACACCACCAGCCCAATCTCTCCTTTACTCCCATAGCCCCGAACTTCCAATAACAGCATCAACTTGATCTGCTTGAAGGTTCATGGTTAGTTATAAGTAGGGTTATAAGTAGGGTAAGTGTAGTTATATCCCATATTAGGGGACTTATAACCCCACATATAACTACTCATAAACCTCCAAGTGCTTAAGCTTGCCAGATTCCCATTCGCCTGCTGTGCTGCCACCTCCAAGTCGGGCGCCTCCTGGTGAAAACAGTCTGCGTGTGGATGTTGGTTTGTCCAGGTATACAGTATTATTCAAGATACAAATTAATACTGTATTCGCTAGCTCGACTTTTCGCCAACAGGACTACGTTAAGCGTTGCTAATTGTCTTAATTCGAACACACAGGCCACAGCCGTGATCACCCCAAAAGATTCTTCTTCGATGGTTCCTGTCATAAGATAACGTCTAAGGGCATCATGAAGGTTCTATAAAAGGTTACTAGTCCATACCTAAGGCCAGGACCCAAAACCTCAAGCACAACTCTCCTGGCCTACCAACTCCACAAACACCTTGTCAACATGTCCATAAATCGAAACCCTTCAAACCTGGACCCTAACCCCTATGCATAAACCCTGAACCATGTGTATATGTATGTATGTATGTACCTATGTATCTATGCATGCATGTATGTATGTATGTATGTATCTATGTATGTATTCATGTAACAATGTAATGTAATGTAATGTAATGTAATGTAAGCAGGTCTCTCTCTCTATATATATATACACATATATGTATGATATGAGTATACATATACATATATATATATNNCCTCCTCTGCACTGCTTCGGCGAGGGAACCAGCTGCCTGTCGGCTGGTCTTCGGTTGCCTGTTCGTCCTTGCAAGGTCGAACATGCTCTCAAAGGGGGCAATATAGGGGCCTTCATTTAGAGGGCTCCTGCTGCCGCACCCACGCACTTTGCAGTGTAGGTCACAACCTGACATTCCCAAAACCCACCAACATGACACCATGAAAGGCCCCCCNNCCCCCCCCCCCCCCCCCCCCCGCCATTCTCTCAAAACAAAACACTTCAACAATTCTGAACAAAACGGTAAGGAGCCGTTTGCAACGGTCTGCACCCGGTCCTCCGGAGCTTCTCTGCGGCGTCGGGCGCAGCGTGCGCAGATCTGCTTTAATAGGTTTTTCGTTGGTGGCCTTATATAAAAGGGGGCTGTAACCATCGAAGAAGGATTACTCGGGCTTTTTTGGGGGGCTTAATGGGTTATATATATATATATATTCCGCCAATAACTGAAACTACATTTCTCGGCATCGTATGGCCTGTTTCCTGTCAGGGGTCATGTTAGCCAAATCCTAAACCCTAAGCGATCAAATCTTGCACCTTAGATTACATCACTGACTGCTCAGTAACTAATTAGCATCCACACACAAATCTCAAACACAAAATGGCACCTTACACCACAACAACCCAGGACACCCCGACAACCCAAACACAAAGATGGAAAAAACACCCATACAGCCCAAAGCCGATACCAAGAAGTCGTTCATCCGTTTCTCTAAAACCAGACACCCTAGAGAGCGCAA